ACACACAGACTGTGAGTGCAGCCGTTGATGGCTAGCAGCTCAGAGAAGTTTGATCTTGACGTAGTTCGAAGCTTATTGGCGAACCAACGAGATTGAACCAATGAAAACCTTCCACCATGAAGATTACTAATGAAGGTGATCTAGCTTGAGTGCATTATTTCGGCGACCAAGTGAATTATCAGATATTTAGCAGCTGCTGAAGTCCAGAGAGTTCCAGCTGGATCATTATTTCATTACCTATATATATGACTCCATGATTGGCTTTTAAGTACCAATTTCCGGGTGTTCAATAGAGCTTTTGCCAGAGGCATTTGCTTTCTGCTCTGCGAATTCGGTTGGTCCAGATTGCACAACAGCAGCAGGTTATCCGTACTGTTCGCCGAAACCACGACAGAAACTAAGTAACTAGGTGTGACAGCCACTGCTCGTGTACATGACAATGCGGATCTGACAAGATTTTGCTCCCAAGTGACTTACAGTAGTAATGCTGGACTGTACAAGGATACAACAATTACGAATCGAACTAATGCATAGCTCGATCCAACATTGGCAAACAGTGAAGCGCTGTGGCACCTGGTTTTCAGACAAGCAATACAAACTGGTAAGATGCTTTTCACATGTCATATGAACCCCTTTGTTAAAAGGAATATCAAAGCACATGAAAAAGCTGCGCCATTAAGCACTACGGAACATGGAATAGGCGACCTGGAATCTAAACGTGAGTAGTCCGCACACACAAAGAGATTCGTAAATAAGTGAAATTATCGTGTGCGACGACGTCTCAAAATAGTGCTAAATTGAATGACAAAGTAATTGCGTCCTTAATATTCTAACAAAGTAATTAAATAGGAAGATTATACTGTCACAGCGAGTTTGTTAGGCTCCGATTGCGGAACGGGGAATCGGTTTCGGCTATCTAATCGAAGGGGAAACACTTTATATGAAGTAAGCAACGGGACTTACTCGGGAGCATCTCGAATGCTCTTCATGAATCAATCGTATCAGATGGTTGAGATGTCGTGAGATTTCAGTGTTCAGTTGCGGAAGATCATATATCTGAAAATGTGGGGAAGGTGATGAGATTAAAAGTAAGTTATATTACTGACATTCAAATAGTAGTTGAATATAACTGAGCGTATTCCGGTAAAACGGAGGCACACCAATGGAGAGAAGTCTAAAAAGTGTAGTACTGGCCTTAGCAGCTTACATGCAGCCTCAACTGGTGGTGGCTTACAAAGGAAGTCGTTGCTCTGGAAGACAGTCCTGTCCTCTGCACGCTGACAATATGCATGACAGTGAAGGATGAGATGTGATATATAGCAGTTAGAATTCAGTCATCCCATGGCTCAGTGAGATAAGTCGCTGGCTCGTAAAAGTGTAAGGTCGTGGGTTCGAATCCGGCAGGCGCGCGCTACTGACGAGTTCCAATATCGCCTTCTTGGATGTGTGGTGGCTGTCCGCCTGATGCTAGCTGCGACGAATGTAGATAAAAATTATAGAAACCGCCAGTACGTGGGAGGGAATTCCGTCCCATGGTCCGCACAATGAAAACACCGGTAAGTGAGAATGGTTTGCACTGAACCCAGGATATCAGTAGAGTGGGACGAACTGGAAGTATCTCATAATGGAGTTAGAGTAAAGTTGTTATCTCTTACAATGAAGAGATGGGTGCACAAGGGTTCACAGAAAGAGCTCCACGATACATACCAGAGTACGTTACGTCCAATATTGCGATCGAATAACGCAACCGGATAACCCCCAGGACTAAGCCGGTGGAAGCACGATCAAACTGGGTGTCAGAAAAGTATTGATTTACGGTAGGATGACTGGTGACAGAGAATGGAATCGCTGGTGGCAAAACACACAAAAGTACGGAGAAAGACGATTGGCCCGCGGAACAGTATCGACTTAAAATGATCCAATCGTGAGTTACAACGAGACAGCATAATGGGACGAAACTAGTAAACAAGGTAAATGATGAATAATGTGTCAGCTGTACGCCGTAACGGCGCATCGATGCCACGCGACCACCACCAGTCGCGCGCGGGCTGAGTATACCGCGAGGAGGCCCACCCCTACGCGGGTACGAATCGGTGACTTTATGGTTGAAAACCATGCGCGCAGACCACTCGGCCACCAGCCGACTAAACAACAGGTTTTTATGTGGTTGGCATATTTCGTTTGGAGTTTAGCACCTACGCTGTCGTTGAATGGTTAGCTAACACTTAAATGGATTCAAAAAGTAAGCGGAGACAACATACAGAAGATGAAAGCCCGAATTAGACTTGTCCAAGCATCGCAATCCGATGGTGAAACAGAAGCCTAGAAATGGCCAAGGCAACAGTTGAATGTTGGTGTCTGATAATAACGGCATTGGGGGCTAATCTGGGTGTGAAAAACTGAGAATGGAGTAAAATGAAAAGGGGCTTCGAAGTGATCTCGAAGCACTGGAGGGGTACAACACAGCTCAATTCAGGCACATACCCGCTCTGCTTCAAAATGCCGCGCGCTTGGCACGTTGAGTACCGCCTGAATCCATTCGGCTGGAAGGTTGACGCCGATCCAAAGGAAAAGGTTCACTCCGTTCTCTAAAAGGTAGGCGCCTTCCGGGCGAAGCCACTCGTAGGAGCACCGAATCGCCACAGGTGGATAAACCAGCCGACCCTCAAAATTGGGCGCTAATTCATGCTACAAATAGATAATGAATGAGGTGAAACCAAAACAAGGCTGCTTGTCCAACAGGTGACCAAATAAGACAATTGGTTAAAAGTTCACCAAACGCTGTGATTAAGAGTAGCTCCTAAATTGAAGCTGGTTACCAGGAAAATGAAATGGCTGGCTTTACCTAAGTACGCGAGACGTACCGACCTGATCCGCAGTCATCTTAACTGATGCACAAAAGGCGCCAAAAGTGAAGATTAACGGAGAAAGTGTGGTGCTACAAAATGGTTGTTGAAGAAGACCATCAAAATGGAAAATCGTTTTTAGGATCAGCGGTGGCTGATTAGTCGTTAAAAATAAGAAAGGCAAGCCAAGCGGAGAGTGATGACTGATATTGTCGGCACTATCTGACATTAAGACGATGGATCCATCTACATCAGGCGGATCACGTGAAGTGTGAGTACAAACCTAGTGTAAAGTTCCGTATAGGAAAAGAAATCGCCCAAAACAAAAGTACGTAAGCAGTTGGCGTTTATGAAATGAATGAACAGGTACAAGACTCAAAAAGCAGCCTACGCACAAGCGACAGAATGTGTTGTGAGGGTACCAATGGAAGCAAGTATGGGACAACGTTACACAGACAGATAACAAAGATTTGGGTAGAATTGCTTTGGAGAATGCCAAATGTTTGTGGTCTGACTACTACTCGTACAGAAGTATAGCATGAAGCAACACTTCAACATCCCAAGGAGGGATAACAGTTGCCAAAAAAGCGTGCTGAATAAACACAATTGGAAAGTGATATCCGTCGCCCAGCACCTTGACCCAGTGAATCCAAAGAGTAAGCTGGTGGAGGAAAGATTATTTAGTTGGTTGATGGAGAACAATGAGGACGATGGAAGAGGACAACTAAGAAGCACTCACCACTGGATAGAGCCGAGGATAGATATAGGCGCTGGACTGCTTGACGTCCATGCTATTGAGGAGAAACATGAGCCAAGCACGATCATCGATTGAGATGTTGTCGGCTAAAAGTAAACAAGTAAGTTCGGAAAGTTCCCAATCAATACATTAGTAAGCATTACGATGGTCGGAGGCAAAGAAAAGAACCTCGACTAAAAGAGCAAAATCTGATACGGCCTCGTATGACTAACAGTTAAACTGACTAGAAAATAACAGTGCGTTGAGCAACACTAGAAAAAGACATATTTGAGCCGGGATGGGAGCTAATTCATCCGAATAAACAAGTTATGGTTCAGAGGGTCTGTCAGCTGAAGTAGGAGGGTAAAAAAACATAGGAACCTAAAGAAAAAAGTTGAAACTGCTTCAGATCGCATCTCCATTTAGATCGTGCTCGTTTAACTGTAACAGAAGTCCCTGTTACTGACACGTCACTGCTAAGCATCATCATCATCATTATACACATCAGCTAGAGGTAGGAAAACACCTCCGCTATTGTGCCGCAGTATTGCGCGTGAGTGAGGAGATACTGTGGGGTCACCCAAAAATATGACGAAGCGGTACTCAAGCGTGGGGGTTGCGAAGTAAACGCTGAAACCACTCAACCACGGGAAACAAGAGATGCAAGAAAATAGACTTTAAAGTGACCGTCGACGAAGACAGTAGAAAATAACCATTTTATAATATTTTTCGCTCACAATACCTAACATTACAGTCGGTAGGCTAGATTCATTTCGAAACTCTGTGACAAGTGAAATTCAGACAGACTGACTGGAGGTCACGAAGTCCCTGGACAAGCGAAAGTGAGTGGAAATGCCAGAACAGAAAGATCGGTTATGGGACAGTTCTGGTAACCCTAGCGATAGGGGGTTTCTTCAAAGCAAACTTAGCACAATTACGTTCACCCGGATCGATCGGACAGAAGGTTCTGGAAAATGAACCAAAGCTTAACGCACTTTGGAATTACGATGATTAATCCTCATATGCGACGCGTTACCGTTGATGAAGACAAGTTCTCAGGGAATAACGTGTCAGTATAGGCCGAAATAACAAGATCCACCTCTGTTTCAGTCGACTGTGATGGAACCAAGAAAAAGGAAACTTGCAATGGTACTCGGAGTTCCCCACTACTGGACCGCGTAAATAAACTTTTGTAGTGATCTGCAGTGACGTGCTCTTTATAACCTACGACAGATACGCACTACCTGATTCTGTTCTCTTCAAGATTTGTTCTGATTGCTATGAGCCATTTTCGGCTCAACCATGTACACAGTGATCAGGCCTGATTAGGAAGGTTGCATCTCGAGTTATCGGGAAATACACAATATAACCATAAATAGTAGATGTGTGTACTTATTCTATGGGAATGAAGCGACATAAGTGGGACTGATCGCTGCGAAAGATTTCATCCTGGATGCGTGGTGCGCAATAGAAAAGATGCTATTAGGCAAAGAATAAAGTAATCGAAGAGCGCACCAAGATTGCACAGTGCAATGAAACGAAGATCACAGACAGCGGTGGTGGAACATTCAAAACGGACTGCAGCAGTAGCCTAACAGCAACTGGGTCGGTCCAAAAGAATTAAATATCTAATGACCGGCTTGACGATCGTGATAAGGAGTCGAATCGCTGATCGGAGTCCATTGGCTAAACTCTAACGATCCGTCAGTATCGTAGTTACGAACAACCGGTGCTGTCCATAAGAAGCGCGAACAAATCGTGAAATCGTAGTTCAGCCACGAAGTACTTAAAGGTGAGGACCCCAGTGACCCTACCTCAGATAACAAAAGCCACTGGGACGAACGCAATAGGATGACCCTGCAGAAAGAGGTCGGTAAGTTAACGGAGCACGCTCACCAGGCATGAAAGCGTCCGACTTCATTAGACACTGTACATACAGCGGGTATAGTTTCATATTTTGTGGCAAAACCAACTCTCCCGGGCCCGCGCCCATATCGCCTGGTCCACTGGAACAATGTCGACGGTACGCAGCCAAAGTCTGAGCGGTCCGGCTTGTGATATCGTCGACCACATGTGCATGTGGTCGCGCACACAAAGCCCGCATGGAGAATTTGCTCAGCCAGTTCATATGCGCGTCCAGTTCTGCGAGACGGAACACCTCAGGAATCGAACCGGTGGTAGCCAGTGACAGATTGTGAACACGCAACCTCCGTTGACCAGAGAGTGAAGTGTACAAACAGGCAACCTAGAAAGTAAGGAGCAAATAAAGGGGAAGACACATGTTCGGCTTTAAGACCACACTTGTGAATTAGGGCGCAATGTGAAAGAAAAAGCGAAGGTTTAGCTCACCTGAATGAACGCGACGTCCTTATCCTGCAGCTTGTCATCATGTCGCAATTCCACCGTAATCGCCATGTCCGGATCCACACAAGCCATCTCGATGTCTGTGGTGTTGGGTAAATTGCAATTGCCGAAAAATTCCACTGGCCGGATACCGGCGCTGGTACGGACGCGCATCACAGAATCGAACGCTTTCGGTCGGGCAACTGCACGCTCCAGATCAAACAAAAAATGCGTGCCCTGTAGATCAGCCTGAGCACAATGGAAAATGGGAATGATGAAGTGTGCCGAGGCTATAGCGACAAAAAGGTCGGTTTGGTTCATCGCAACTGGCCAACGGTGACCCAAGCTAAGGAAAGCAGCGGAACAAGTTGGTAAAACACACACACACACACACAAGCATAATGATGAGACAACTTAGGCATAACAGCTTCAAAGTTGTTATGTTACACGGCACGTTCCCGGCCACAAAGTTTGCTGATCCTGTGGCCGCAAATCTAGGAAGACAACTGAAATCAGCTTGCCCCTCAAGTCATAACGCAGTGACGTCCACAGGGTTATTGGGGGGTTCAGTCAGGAAGAAGAAAACGGACAACCAAGGAACGCAGTCGCAGGCCGCAGACTGGTACACGTAAAACGTGACATGAAAAGTGTGAGGTACGCAGACGTACAGCATGGTGCAGTGGATTAAATAGCATTTCCCTGATAGTCCTGCCAGATATGAGCAACGCACAGTGGGCAGCGATGATTAAACAAAAGGAAACGTCTGCACAACTCATGCGTATGCAATGACGCGCATCGGCGTTACCCACATACCCGATAGCCACTGGTGTTCAGCGGCACAGTGTCTGAAAGGTCGAACGAGCCTTTCCGATACACATGGCGACCTACCTAATGAGATGACCGCCACAGACGGTGCAATCAACTAGGTACCTTAATCGGTCAACCATAGCGAAGCGCTGTCTGTTAAACATTAGACCCTGTCTCCATGTAGTGAGCACACGAGGCGTGGGGATTATGATAAGGCCCACAGCGCCAGTAGCCCTGGCAACAGTCTAGATACCGCTCCATGAGACAGACATCATCCACACAATTCGTCTATTTTAACTGATCAACTGCACATCTAGCACGGACTTCGTGGCTAGAAGTGAGGCGTTAACGGGCACCTAAGTCACTAAGTGTGCTTCACCTATAGCTTATTATGTTGTTACACTGTTAAGTCATAAATACTGTGTTCAAAAAGAGAGCGAACTTTTGCCATAACATTTTCATTGCTCACTGTTCAACATTTTAAGCACTAACCGCTCAAAGTAGTCCTATCTACTGGCAGTGTACTGTTCTCAACGGTGCGTTCATTTTTGAAAGCCTCCTGCAATGCACTTTCCGGGGTGGCAGGCAGAGCTCCTGTTGCATTGTCCCGAATCTCCCCAATGGTTTGGAAACGACGACCTTTCAGTGTCGTCTTAAGTTAAAGAGACAGAAAAATGTCGGCTGGTGCTAGGTCCGGAGAATACGGTGGGTGGGGCACAATGGGAATTTGATGAATTGCTAGATAGCTGCGGACAAAGAGCGATGCGTGAGGCGCGCGCATTGTCATGACGCAACATCCAAGTCTACTTTCCCACAGTTAAAGCCTCTAGTCACTCAAAAGTAGACGGCATGATTTTACGCTGATGCCGATTTCATCAGCAACATCTCGAACAGTTAGACAATGATTTCCACGGATCACAGCCTAAAACCTCTCGGCATGGTTATCGTCTGTTAAGGTGGAAAGTCATCCAAGCTTAGACTGCTCACCCATCGATAGTATTCCGGGTTCAAAACGCCTAAACTACTTACGGGGCTGCCTGCGACGCACAGTCCTCCCTGTATGCTTGGTTAGGCGATTGGAATGTCTGCAAATTTTCCGAGTATGCAACAAAATGATAAAACAGTATAAATAAAACATATTTTAATTGTTACTTTGACAATAATCCAATAAAAAGCCTGTCTACGTGCTGACTTTAGTACCTCGCCTACCAAGGGTCAAAGCGAGAGGTGGCAAATTTTCAGTTTGCTGACTAGACATACCTCTAGGTGCGCTCAGCAGCCACAGCGCGCCACCTCTGCCGGCCAATTTGTTTCAAAGTTCGTCTTCTTTTTGAACACTATAGCACGAAGGTATCTCCGCCTTTGGCTAAAGTAGTAAAAGAAATCTTTCTATCGGACCACCTTTCTTTTCCCAGCCTCGAGTGCAGTATAGCGGAGCTAAGCATTTCGTCTCCAATCTCAGCTGGCGTGCACACACCTCTGGCGGATAGGTCTCTTAAGCTGCAACATCCCGTATTATCAGTGAAAATCCTTTCGTCCGTAACAACTAAAACAGTGGGAAGAGCCATGGTGTTTGAAACAATAGAGCGCACGGTCTTCATGCCAGAGCCAGACCCAAAGTGTGGCTCCGTCAGGGCAGCATGCAAGCAGAAAATGGCATGTACGCTTCCAAACACGGCCCCTTATGGACTGGTAGGTACCGATTCCAGAGCAACAGGGTGTTAACAGAATGGGCATGCGGACACAACGCAGAATACCGTCACAGGGGCGTGGCAAACACAGACGCGAAGCACGTCGATGAAGCGTGGGCCACCTCTGGAGCAAGCGTAAATCCCATTTGAACACCTCCGAGTAGATGGGGCGCGTGTATGGAGTAGTGGATGAGACGCTGTGCAAATTAAACTTGGACACTGCGTTGACGAAGGTATCCCGTGGATGTTGGTGGCACGCAGTCAGACCCTACTGGATAAATTAGCAGGAGTTGGTTCAGAAAAATAAGGGGTTGTCCTAGCGCCCAAACATTGTCTCCAATTGAGAATACACAAATCGTATCCTGACTTACCTGGAAACAGTTGTACTTATACAAGTGGCCAGCCGTCAGTCTGGGGATCTCGGCCAGAGTTGCCACATCTGTGTATGCGTTGGGAAATAGGAACAAGTCGACGCTGCAGCCAACTTCAACGCAAGCCTGACCCAAACCAGTGTAGAAGTCTCCAACCGGAGCAAGCAATCCCTGTGAAAGGAGAAAGCAAGTGGGGGACAAGGATGCGAGCAATGCAATGAACTTTAATCCGGTGTCCATTGCCAGGTCATTCGATGAGCGGCATATAAATAAAATAGTATGAACTGTTTATTATGGATTCATCTGAAGTATAAACTGCCTTTAGGGTGTGAGATTATGAGGTAAGCGAGATTGATGCACAAGTCGTCTATTTACACCCGGTTCCATTAAAGAATAATTAGTTAAACATCTAGGAGAGAATGTAAGGTTACAGCAGTTATCTGAACTAATGCATCGCTGACATAAAGGCAGAATGATTTGGGGAATGAGAAGTGAGAAGACAAGCGAAGAAGGGGACTACGCGTTAGAACTAAATGTTCAAAGTAAACATTCAGGGTCAAGGAGTTTACCTTGGATCAACAACCAAAGTTACTAAGAAATGAGTGTCCAGCGAAGATAAGGGATATCTTTGGTTTTTACTGCCCCGAGTCAAAACCAGCCTTAACCCCACTGAGAACTCAGTATCTACATAGTTTCAGTAGGCGATCCCGCCAGAAAACGAAATATGAGGCAAAAACAGCTGCTTTGGAGATACATTAGACAATTAGTGGTGGGCGTTTGATATGTCTACGAGTTAGAGTACAATCCTGAAAGGTTACGAGAGATGCAGCATAAAAGAGCCCCACTAAAACTTAGAAGTACTCAGAAAGAGAAATCAAATGCAGAATTATAATGATTCAAGCGAAAATTGGTTAATCTCGATAGACAACTCACAAGCAAACACTGAGCGTCAGCAATGAGCCTCCGCGAACCGTAGCAAGTGAACAGAAAGTGGTGCGCGTAAGTGATCAAGAGTGAATGTAGAGAAACTACGCGCAAATTCAGAAATTGGCATCAGCTGGAGTTTCTTAACTTCCTAGTTAGAGTTCGAGAGACGATAGACACCGTTGGTGTTGGATACACTCTTTAACATAGCGAAGAAACGACCACAGTGGTGTACGTGTTGCATCACTTTATCCCATCTCATTCCGCTTAGTCTGCTCCTACAAACACGATCTCAGTATCAATGTATAATTTAAAAAAATGCATTGCTGTTCTTTCTCTACAGCCACTGAATTGATTTACATTAGGTTACAAAAGCTGGGATGTTTCCCATCTTTGACAAAGGTGTTGAATGATGATGTCCATACAATCAGAAAGTGAAAGTAAGTATGACTCGATCAATTATCAATGAAACCAGTGGCTCTGGAGATATAAGAACGTTTAGAGTAGACTTATGGATTCATCAAATGTATTAGACTGTCTCTACTAAATAAGACAGAAGACCGAAAAAGAAAGAAAAAGATATGCCCCTGTAAATATTGTGTCAAGAAACGTGAAAGGAATCCTGATACACAAGAGCTATGTTAAAGAATGCAAAAATGTAATGAACCGCATAGTCCACCCACTTTTTCTTTCTCTGTGCCAATGAGGCGTCGGTCATCGCGATTTTTCAATTTTCCCGGAGCCTCGGCTGTTGGCAAGTTGCAATGGAATACAAAAAGCTTTCCTGGACGACCAGCAGCGCGTAACGCCTCCAAACCGGCCTGGATCGCGGGACCTAACATCGCGTCTGGGGCAGCGGTTGCTGAGTCTGGACCGAACTGAGCAGGGATCACTTGAAGAAGATTGCTGATAGGTCCAGAATCTGGAGGTACCAGAAAGCCTTCGATGGCCGGGACAAATACATCATCGACGTCGGAAACAATGTGCATCTGTAGTTTCAAGTAGTCATGGGTAATAGGTGGTAGTCCATTAGCAGCACCGTTTTCTAGACAAGGGCGTTCACGAGCAAAGGCATAAAACTGGAGCTGATGATCGTAGGTGATAAACCCCAAGACAATCGAGGATGCATCATGTGGCTGGCTTTCGTCTCTGTAAAAACGATACATGCAGGAGTTTGATTAAACGCGTGATCAACGAGGGACAAACAAAGCAGAAAAGGATGTGGGAAATTGGGTTGAAAAAAGGGAGAAAGTAAAAAACAGCACCGGAAACGAATGAGCGGAGCTACTTATTCTATTGAGTGGGGAAAGTAAATGGAGGAGTAAGTACGAGTATAAGAAGAATTGCACATTACTCGCAACTGTGCCATTTTAAAGTATCCGTGCCGTGAATAGAATGCGAGATTCAATCTCAGTCGGGACCACGACTCATTGTGAAGTGAAGCTCGATCACTGTTGGGATCTTGGAGCACCCGCAGCGTGTCTGGATTGCGACAAGCAATAGCAATTGGGGTCAAGATTTAGTTTACTGTAAACCTCGGCCATTTATATCGGTGGGACCACATCCGAAGTGGAGGGTTTCTCAAGCTGTTTCTCTCAACGCTGCTTTGAACAACGCGTAAGTCGTCAACCACTGTATGTCGCGTTCTACTCTCAGCTCCGATTATCTTTACCGGACGAGTCCAGATCAGGACAAAACCAGTCGCGGAGTGCAACGTCGGGAGACAGGGCAGCGTCGAAACTGAAAACCAACCTGATCAATGAGGTTGTATCTGAGAGCGGTTAATGTTAAGGGTTGCAGGCTCCAAATCCCGGAATACACATTCTCTTTCGTGCTTCGCTGCAGCACACAGGAAATAACCTAGTTCAAATTGAATCGCGGTCCAAATTGAGATTGCGTGTGCTTACATTACTCCCTTGTAATGACTACTTGCCTAAGGCTGTCGTTGCCTTCAAATCCATGGATCACCATATGCCCAAGGTACGATAGAAGCCATTCAGCAGATATAGTTACATAATGGCGTAATACCGAGTACCGATAGAGGATAATATAGGGTGTTAATCATTATGATAAGTTAACACTGCAGATCGTTCCTCGTCTACAGGGAACTGTGATAAAAATGCACATCCATTGAACTGCGTTGAATCCGTGTTAAGCGGCGATCTAAAAAAAGAGGAACCTGGAAAGAAGGTTCGCCAAATAGAAGAGTACATGGCGCCACGAATAACTGCGAACGCAAACAAACATCAACCAGGCTGCCCGATTAACTAAGACAAAGATAAGCATTGAGTGAACAACAATAGCAAGTTCCTGAACCAACGTTCAGTTGTTCTCGTCTGCGAATGTTTCATCACCAGGCAAGGTAACATCATCAGCGCAACTACAGGAAAGCTTAAATACCCAGCTCGGAGAACAACCGAGCACACGTGACCTATCCATCGATCTTGTTGGTCGAGCAAACAATCCAAACGGATTATTTCCCCGAGTACTCGTTTGCACACCCAATTGCAGGTTGGTTGCCGAAACCGTAAGCCGCCTGTCGTGCAATCCGGATGTCATCGGTACGAGACTGTTTAGGAGACGGAGTGACCCTCGTAGTGTCATTAGCCCAAGCGCGACTGGTGGTGGTTGCAAGACAGCGAAGCCTCGGTACCGCATACCGGCGTACTAGTGACGTCTCTCGGTTTTTCGCTGTGGATACGCTGGTGCTAACCGAGATAACCGAGATTTCATCTACCCTTCTATTCGTTTTGTAGAGTTATTTTCAAGTACTCTGCTTGTAACGATAGTCAAAAAGCTGTAGACGCATGAAAGCTTCTGACCGAGGTGGTCAAGCCTTATTAGTGGGAAGGAAAACGACCCCACTGCGATCCAATGAACCCGACCCTCAGGGTAAATATTAACTCCTCTATGGAACCAAAGAATCTCAACGCACATGTAGTTTTAGCCTGTACAACAAGCGAGCTGGTTACAGAAGTCGTAGGTCCATACTTGCTGCTGTAACTACCAGTTCTTCGGCGCCAAGAGCTAGATGTCAAACATGCGATTAGTAGTCTGTAACAAAAGGTTGCAAGATGAAGACGCAAAGCTAAGGCCAAAGAAGGGGACTGTGCTAAGATGCTGGCCGCATGGATGGTCAAACATCGGGACAATGCCGTCCGCATGAATCAGACCAGGAGTATAATACCTTAACGGTGAGACGCCAGGTTCCAAAGTGATGTTTCGACTTTCCCTATCCTCAACTGTCGTTAACCCGCAGTAACAAATTGGCTCACAGCACTTACGGAACTTAACTCCGATATATAGGCATCCACCTCAGCCGCAAAGCGTGCGGTATCCATACATGCATATCCGGATAATCACATCCAATCCATGGATCTCAACCATCTCCTCGCACATTGGAGACGCAATCAGTCAGAAATGCAGTGGCACATATACAAACCCAAGCGACACACCTTCACATATACACACCTACGAGCATATATACACTCACAAATATACATTCAATGCTGTGGCCAACTTGTGTTGTACATTTCTCCATCACTAGTTGTCTTGTTGTCATGATCATGCCTGTATACGCGTGCCTCGCGTTGTACAGAATAAAGTATTTGTTCGTTTATTAATATGATTATCTTAGATAGGACGAATATCTAAAGCTTGGAGATTGTAACCAGCATGAGTACAAGAAAACCGTGAATAGACTGCCATTATCCATCGTCCTGCAAGTCATGGGCATGCACCGTAATTGACCTGAATATATGAACCAATGGTAAGAAGTCATTTCACCAACGGACCAATTCCATTATCTTCGCTGCTCGCAACCCTGACTAAAAACATCGATCCGGCATCAAGAAAATAGCAGCAAGTCTAACTCCTCCAAGATTAGGATTCGAAGATGTGTCACAAAATCGCTATGCCACTTACGTGTCTCAGCGCGAACAGCAAATTCGAATGGATGCGTGAAGTTGAGCGCCCACCACCATGCGGTGCAACAGAAAGGCAGAGCGAGTCGAAGAGATTCGAGTAGTCGCATCGCACACCCAGTCTAAGAGATATGACAGTGCACATCCGGGGGCAAAGATCAACAGCACACTGTCCGGAGTGTGTAAAAAACAAGACCAACAAAATTATGCCCAAACAAGCTAAGCGGATGGAGTTGGTAACAGAACGAATGATACGGGAAGAGGCCGGTGTGTACAGTCGCTAGGGGAAGACTAGCTTGCGTTAGGTCTCTCATGTGCAGAAGCTCATTAGACTTCAAAACAGTGCTCGTGAACCCATCAGTAAATAATTAAAGTCGGTAGTAGGAGAATTTTGGTCTAGTGAATAGGCCGAGGCATATCGCTGCACGCTTCGGCATGTGATATGTACCGTTGCATGACTGATACGATCAGCCACTGGTACTTGCTAGTAGCGAACAGGCACTGGAAATGACCAGTCGGCTGTGTCGCCTTTAAAGGTTACATCACTGAGGTTACTTCGCGTATCAACAAAGCCCGTACGGGTTTGGGGGGGACCTATATAAGTAGAGGGCTATCAGCCTGTTACACAACAGTATGAGAAAGTCCCATATCTGGATTATGGATAGTTTATGCTTTATGAAGAAACACTCTGGTATTTCACTTGCATTCTGTGGGTCTTGTAAAGGTTGGGTGCATAACGCTGCGATAAGTCCTGTGTTACTATGTGGAGTAGAGATTAGGCAAGTTCGCACTGCGGACATTAAACATTTGGCCAACTTGGATCATCGGTACCTGTGGGACATTGCTCATATCTTGTGGGGAGACTGAGTGAGTAATAACGAGACCGGTTAGTTGGTTTTTTGATAAGAAGCCTCCTGGTGCCTCACTTGAGTGCTTGCTAAAGCTTAAGGGCCTAAGTTGGACAAGTTGTCTCCGCCGTACACCCATTGACCGATATCTTCAGCGTGCATTATACGCCGTCACTGCTCTAGTTTAAAAGAAATCACATAATCAGACGTTAAGGTAGCACAAAGACACGAAATGGTTGACTGAGACACTTGATTAGACCGGTGCTTGCTGCCTTAGTGAGTGAGAGCCCTGAGATGTTCCACATCTGTGGTTGGAGAATCCAACAAGCGCGTAGTCAATGGCATTACTGTATTCGGTATTTTGCACCTAGCTGTTAACTTCCCCTTTCATCCCGATTAGATTTGATTACTCGTTTCATAACTCCATTTTCCTTGTGTTCTGTTCGCGCTAAGCCTATTTCTCACCGTCGCTCTTGTTATTCTGGTGAGCTGAGCCTTGGTAACTGGATCCGTCGCACTTCGGTGCCCTGATCATGGTTGCGAAACTACGAAACTTTTCTGGTTTGTGACAATATGGCGTTCAGTGATATAGATCATACAGGCAACATCACCCAGACTTTGGGCACACTGCAGTGCCAAGTGTGGGTTTCCTCGACTTTGCAAGAAGTATGTAAACGGATGACCAATGACACTCGATGAACGAAATGGTATCACAGGCAAATGTATATCTGGAAGCCGGCTTTAAAAAATGAACTACCCAGATGATTGGATATAACACCAGCATTGCCGTGTGAGAATAGCACATGTAGTAGAGCATGCTGGATGGAACGGTTTCTGAAAAACGTCTAACGATCGACAGGTTCAGGTTATTTAAAAAACGCAATACGAGTAAAACTATCAGTTTAAATGTCACCATGTGGTGATTGCAGATATGGACTGCAACCGATCAACGGGTTGACAAAGGATGGGGACAGTAATGTTGAAAACCATTTCAATGGGCGAAACCGGCTTTTTGGCCTTGTGAAACCGAAATGGAACGCCTCAGGTCATCCCATTAAGATATGAAACACCACAAAATGAAGCCGCCAAACTGTAGAAACGAGGTTGAGTTTGATTTCTAGCGGCCACCATCTCCACATGTCTGCGGTAGACCTAGAAGCCTAACGACGCCACAACCAATCATAGGCAAGTGGAAAGTGGCAGATACCATTTCCACTATGTATGATGAAGTACACTGCTCGTGAATAGATGTCTGGGGAAAAACAGCATTAGTAGTACGTTGGTAGGTCGCACCAACGCCGGCCCATATCCTAAAGGATCACAAGCTTGCACTATAATCCGAAGGTTCAAGTTCGAGCCTACGTATGGATCGGGCGACCCTTGGTACTGCGTACCGGCGCACCGCTGATGCCTTACCGACTCTTCGCCGTCACGTAACCTAAAAACTAAAAAACTAAATCGCCATCTGTACGCCGTAACGGCGCTTCGCTGCCGCGCGACCACCACCAGTCGCACGTTGGCTAAGGATCCTGCGAGGGTCTCGCGATTCATACTCAGGCTCGAACTTGCACCCTCGGATTACAATGCAGGCTTGTGATCCACGTAACCAACAAAAATCGCGCGCGGATTAGGGATACTTCGAGTTCACCTACATCTACTCAGGCTCGAACCGGCGGCCTTTGGGTTACAAGATAGATGCCTTATACCTTTAGCCACCAGCCGGCAGGCTGCTATGTCTAGAGGCGAAATATTACACGCATTGTGGACGGCTGTAGAGGTGGGAAACACACTCACTTTGGCAACTTCGGCAAAATTCGATCCACAAACTGCGTGCAAAACAAGTGTACAAGTCCCGAACGGATGGAGGCCTGGGATACATCCAGAATAAAGATGAATGCGGGAGGTTTGGGAAGCACATTGTTCTTGCAATACTCGGCCGTCGCGAGCAACTCGTAACTACCAAGGCATAGCTCCGGTCTGTGATACGTATCTGTTCGGCGTCCCGTGTGATCCAGGTGCGCGAAATAGTTAGTCGGAACTTCCGTAACCCCGTTACATAAGGGACATTGAAAACGCCGCCCTCCATCGATGAAGCTCATGAATGGACTCATGTAACCACGGCATCTGACGCAACGAACGGGACCCTGTAGGATGAAACAAAAGTGCGTAAATATATGGAAAAGTTCTGGGTTTTCTAAACAAAGGTATAAGCGGTTGAACGAAGGATCACAATCAGGTGCCGACGGTTCGGACATTCACTCTGGTTAACTGATCAAAGTGAGGTGTTCGACATGTATGTGAGGGGTGGCCGGAAAAGCTAATTAGGCGACTTCCGAATGTTAGCGAATAGATGTCCAGTGTCATTTGCCCGTCTTGGGCAACAAGTAAGTGGTGAGTTAGCACGCATCCGAGTGAAGGATGATGAATATAAGCTTCAAATATGCACTGTGACAAGCCAAAATGTACTTTAACGTCATATCGTGTATGTGGTTGCGCCCAATGGGCACCAGCTTACAGCCAGGTAGAATAGACGCATCAATTCCGTCGAGCGAATTCCTGAAACCTATCAATAACACACCAAAGCCGCGGTTAGTATGTGCAGATGGAGGAAGTGTTATCGTTTAGTGTGTAATGTTTGTGATGGCGCCATCAACCTTGCCAACAAGCCCCAGGAATACATTCCACTAGGAGATAAGTAAGATAAAATGGTGGAAACAAAAGCACTTTGGGATGTTCGACGAAAGGCGACAGCAGATGTGCGAAACATACTACATGCACTGCTGAAACACTATTGTTATGTTTTAGTAGCCTATGAATAGACGTAGTCATCAAAAACCATGGAAATCAAAGGGAGGTTCAGTGAAAACTGAATGCAAGATTTGGAAGTTATGCATTTCGTTTGCTAACGCTCCAGCTGAACCGGACTCGGTTTTCTTTGTGATAGGTGTTAGATTTAGGGATGACAATTTCTCAGTGAGTGCTTGGAATAACAATGTCTGTCCTTGTTCTTGTTGAAGCACAGCCCGCTATTGCTGCTGGATGCTGTTGTAGTAATCGCGTTAGCTGTGAATGATCAGCTATCTCCATCGCCAGTGTCATAATCGCGGTTAATCAGAACAAAGACTTGCACCACACCGGACAGTGTATTGACCAGACCTCAAGTCCCATGAAACAGTCAAAACAACCGACAATGTAGGGTGAGAGTGCGTGTCATACAGGCGGCGGTCCGCTGCATATGAACCCCAGAAGATCAACGGGCGAGGGTAAAGTTCAAGGTCAGGTGTGTGGGACGACATTGCACTTTGAAGGCACCGGTTAGCCTAGTGCAACAATTTCCGTAATTCCCTTTGATTTCCATGGTTTTTGATGACTACGTCTATTCGTAGGCTACTAAAACATAACAATAGTGTTTCAGCAGCACTTTGATTTCAAATGTCAGTTTCAGCGCATGCAGTATCTTTCGCACATCTGCTGTTGCATTTCGTCGAACATCCTTCCTCCATTTGATCTTACTTATTTCGTAGTGGAATGTATTCCTGGGGCATGTTGGCAAGGTTGATGGCGCCATCACAAACAGCACACACTAAACGATGGCAGTTCCTCCATCAGTACATAATAATCGCGGCTTGGGTGTGACGCAGAAAACGGCACCCCATTCGCAACCTGGTGCGAGCGATATGAAGACATCTTTTTGGTTGACGCGATCACGCTTGATGTGGCGGCCAAAGTACGGTTGTTGCCACGGAAACTGGGTGCACATGAACACAACCAGTACTGTAATTCATTCTATCGAAACATTCCCGCGAGTGCAATTTCCAGGAAACTATAGACCTTCTCCCTTCATTTTTGGTGAAAGGCCCTCAAGTGCAACATCCAGCTTCAAACTCTCATTCATTCATTCATTCAGAAGCTTTCTACCAAGGGAGCCTGGGTACGCAGATACGAGGCCGAACCACCAAACCTGGCAGCCTGCAGTGGTGCGAAAAAGAAAAGGCACAGTGCTGTACGGTGTCTACCGGACCTTTGTCTCTCGTACGGCATGTTAACAAGTTAGGCAAACGACGGATCGAACACACAAGCACTTCTAGTTTCGAGTTGCCGTTCGACACGTTTAAACTAGCAAAAACTGCGAGGGTTTAGTGAACCGACGGAAACGTGCAGAGAGCTATGCCAAGGAGTCACTCAGAGGCTTATGCGGACAAGTAAACCGATCCGACGTTTACAGGTGAACCAAGCACTTCATGCGTATGAGTCTGAAGAACGAGTTTTCAAAGGGGAGATGTTACATCAGGCGAACCAGTGCTTTAAAAGTACAATGTCGTCCCACACACCTGACCGTGAACTTCTCCCTCATCCGCTAGCCTCCTGTGGTTCATATGCATCGGGCAGCCGCTTGGATGACACACACACACACCTTAAGCTATACTGTCGGTTGTCTTTCCTGTTTCATGGGACTTGAGATCTGGTCAATACACTGGCCGGTGCGGTAAAGTCTTCGTTTTGACGGCTCAATGCCCCATTAACTGCGATTATAACAGTTATCGATACAGAAAACGGAACACAACACAGAGAAATCCATGATTTCTTCTGAGGGCACGATACTGCCCGGTGGTCCAAGCAGAAGTAGGGAGTTGGTATATTGGACGCCGTTCCTAGCCTTTGACCGAATAGCCTACCTACAAGGCAGCGGGGCGAAGTCAGAAAATCGTGCCCATTGGGAACCGGTGACAGAATATGCAGTTCATACGTGTTTCGTTTGCTCAATAACCAGATGCCCAATACACCCCATAACGTCGACTTCAGATTACAGAAATACAACGCTCCACTGGGGTGAAGCAACCTGCTGTAACAAGCACTAGAGCTGTGCTGGACCCCTAATAAAAGTGTCAAGTTGTCGTCACAAGGGTACAAGAAAGGCAGGTGACGACGCTAAAAGGTAAATATACAAAAATACTGAGCAAGTGTTCAAAGTATCCAACAAATCGTATATGTTTCTCCGGAAGCAGTTGAAAGCGGACAAAAACAGTATGGGGAAGCCTAAATCCATGGAGACATAGACTGGAACTAGGGGTGGAGAAAACGAATAGGCGGGTAAGTGAGTAGGCAGAGTATGGCAAGTATCCGTAAGATAGCAATACATCATCACTCTGTACAGATGCTTTGCTGATGCGCAACTGTAAATGGTTGCACATGAACAGGGATATGTGAGGTTGCAAGATCCATGCAAGGGCATGGGCTAGGATTCGGAACGTTAGATGCCAAATGCCAACACGGATTACATTAAGTGACTGCAGATCTGCCGTCGCACATTTGTTAAGTCCCGTTTTACTGTGGCAGGTGCGAGAGCGGACGTGAACGCTAGTTCCACCATCTCAAGCATTAGGTAAAGGAAACTGCCACTTATTGATTGCAGAGATGGGATACATATACTCGTAAGTGTATTAAGCACAAAAAATGACATACGTGCCTTCGCCACTCAACATCGTGAGTTGACAACAGGCACAAATTCGACTTAGGTCGTATTTATCCCAAAGGAATGACCCATAGCGTAAGTTGTATTGAGTCACTAAACACAACAGTAACCTTGGGGCACATTACTGGGGTGGTTATAGGGCGTGAACCAATCCAGAAACAAGCGCAGCTCTAACCCATATGCAACCTCTCGGTTATATAATTCAAGTTCCCCATGCACACAGAACGTGTACGGACCAAAAATAACAACATAAGCAAACCAAGGTTACTCAATCGGCGAAACCATCCTATGGTTGTTTGCGGTCGTAAAGCTGACGGCTAGAGAGCTGCAGCATATAATGGACGAAACAAACCTAGTACCGAAAAGACTTGTTGATAAGCCAGACAACGAAGGTGCTGGCCAAGGGGTGTGGGAGAAAGGAAGTGTAGCTTTGTTGCAAACAAAGATAAGGTGGAGCATCATGAACAGAAAACATGTCGATCGAAATTATTTCAGAGGGGGAACAAGGGAGAAACAATGGAAAGAGCGAACCAGTTCGAATCGCTATGAGGAGCAAATAAACGATAGAGCAGTGAAAAACATTTTAACCATCAACAACAAAAACTGGTTCCAGTCAATGTCCAATCTTAGTTCTGGTTCATATAGTGGGGTTGTCTTACTAAAACAACTCTTGTTATCTCCTGAAGAGTCCCGTAAGATTTGTCTCCAACAGTAGGCTGCACTACAAGTTCACCCGTCCGGTTGTGGTTATTCGATTGCTCACAACGAGGTTGACTGACGCACAGGTGCTTGCCGGGACAGTGGTCGGAATTGAGGCAGCTGATGGATATTGATCTAGAGGAAAACCTACCATTCAGCTGAGACTAGATAACACGAAGCGAACGCTTGGCTGAAAAACTGAGCTATTAGTAAACATGTGATCAGCGAATAAGTGAAAAACCGGTTACCACTTCCAGCATGAAAATTACCAACTCCGAAACCATCTCCTAGGCCATTTCCGGTTTCTGGTACCCGATTTGAGTGTTAATATCAACATCCATTCAGCCCCCCTCCACACACACACACATACTATTTTCACTTTGAACTGCACATTTTGCAAATCGGTGGACAGATTATTTGTTTAAGATGAACATGGGTAATCTAGTAACAGGGAAAAAAATAAAAACTTTAAAGTGGTTCAGGTGATAAAGAGCTGTCCCGCTGATGCTTTTGTCAGGCTTAGCATCACCGGAGGACAATTGGTGCAGTTGTGCAGCGTTAGCATTTCGACGCTCTTGAATGATCACACCTAACATCTGATCAGGTGTCGAGTTGGTCAGCAGGCACAGTATTGACGCCTTTACCACCGAAAACACGTTTTCCACCGAGTTTAACATGCAGAAGTAAGGTGACAGAAGTTGCAGAGTCCAGGGTCCTCCATGGCTCTTTCTGCATAAGGATGTTGGCGACAAGACTGTACTCCATCGCGACGAGACTGGAGGTCAACGCGGTGCGATGGTCTGTGTGTCTCAGCGATCCATTGGGATATGCTGGGTGGTGCTTTTTGCTCCTTTAGAGCCACTCACATCAGATTGGTCATTGGCTAGAGACCTAACAAATCCAGTCTCCTGGCCCTTCGGGTTCGGGGATGGGGTAAAGGTGGTTTCTCACTCCATAAAACAGGCTCCCTGTAATCCAGTGCCAAAACTCTGCTGCCTCGTGGTAAGGTTTTTTAATCAAAGGCTTTGGTTGAGAACTCTAATCGTCTTCCTGTCTATGCCTGGGCAATCTGAGAGTAATCGGTTCACGAAATACAACATTATGGCTTCTCATTACGTTTGGCCGGAGATGAAGCGGTTTCAAATGCCGGTCAAGCTGGTGAGGGCATTGCTTCTAGTCCCCGAACTGAATCTGCTTAGGTCGATTGGATCCCAATAAACAGCCGGATGAACTGTCAGATTGACTGGTTCGTTCAAAGCATCGAATTTGCGTGGGGTCAAACGGCGCTTGTCTGTCATTGCGCCTATGCGCCCACCAAATGGAACGCTGACTCGATGAAAGACGGCTTTTATCACCAAGTAAACACGCGCCTTCGTCACAAAAAGTACGTATACTGTAGTATTTGCTGGAGATTTGAACGCCCAAGTCGGAAAACTGTCCAGTGATGAGCTTCTTCTGGGCGGTCAGCCCGGTGTACGCCACCGTAATAACGGTGGGCGGTTGTTACAACTGTGTGAAGATGTTCGCCTCTTTCTTGCGAACACTAACTTCCGACACAGCATCCGCCCGAGGGTGACATGGCGCCCACCAGCATCGGACCGGTTATGGACACAAATCGGTCACATGGCGATCAGTTACCGCTGGAAATGATGCGTTCAAAATTGTCACTCAATTTGGAGTACGGGCGTGAACTCTGGCCACGCAATGTTTGCGCCGAACTCCGGGTGCGTTTCGGTGGACGTCCGCAACGGCGCTGTGAACGCATGGATATTTGCCAGACGTTTTGAATGCGTACCAAAGTACGCTTGCAAGTGAGCTGAACAAACGCCCATTGAACACAGTTGAAGATCACTGGTTGCATATCCACCAGACGTTATTAGCAACAGGCATGTCTTCATGTGGTAAATAACAATGCCAACCTAGACATTGGGACTCTACAGTCTCTGGCTTATTGATGCTCGCCGGCACATTCCGGCTGGAAGCGAATACAATGAGACTCGCAAAGCTGTCAGAGCAAAACTACGTGAAAAGTGAAGAGATCGCGAAGCGTGGTGGTCTCATGATGCATTGAAGATGAAAACAGCTGCTGTCCTTGGTAATCATCGGAAGTTATTCCGTTTGATACGAGAAACGAGCGGCAGAAGACCTCACGTTAGCGAGACCATACGCAACGAGAGAGGGTAGCCGATCCACAGCCTGTCAAAGCGCTTGGAGCATTGGGCCGAACAGTTTGAGAAGCAGTTCAATTAGTCAGAGTTGCCAGCCTCGTCATCGGCAAATGAGCGCCCTACTCGCTGGGTCGTCGCCCTAGATTCGCCCTCACGCGCAGAAATCGAACGTGAGACCAGTCGGCTAAAATTGAACAAGGTAGCCGGAGCAGATACACTTCAGCCAGCTCATTTTAAATTTGGGGGATCTGCTCTTTTGGACGAGTTACATAACTTACTAGTGAATCCATGGGAACAGGAGTGTCCCGACAGACTGGACGTGCTCTATGATGGTTCCAATGTTCAAGGGAGACTCCCGTTCCGAATGCAACAATCATAGATGAATCAATCTGGTCTCCATTGCCTCTAAGTCACTTGCGTCTGTCGTCATCCATAGGCTGACTGGCACTCGCGAAAGCCACATGCGCGAGTAGCAAGCCGGGTTTCGTCTAAATCGAGGCTACATTGATCCCATAATCGCAGTACATCAGTTGTCAGAGCACCGGCATGCTTATTGACGATCCACCGTTGTCGTGTTCCTAGACATCAAAGTTGCCTTCGATTCGATTAATCCATGTGCCCTTTGGGACTGCTTACTCAGGAAAGGTGTTCAATAAATATGTAGACATTATCCGAGCGCTATACGCGCGCAGCTCGGACAGAGTGAGGGTTTACAGCAGACTGTCGCTGCTCTTCAATATCTCCAGCGGTGTGAGACAAAGTTGCCCGCTGTCACCTTTCCTCTTTAAATACGCCATTCACGAATTCATGGAAACGGCGTTCGGCGGACACAACTTAAAAGATGTGGAGATGCACCTTGGTGAACGACTTCTCGACTTGGAGTATGCCGACGATATTATGCTTATCTGTGACAGCAAGCGAACGTACCAAGCTGCAATGGATAAGTTAGCTCCGGTTGTCAGTGGTTTCGGGCTATACTTTGCATCATCAAAATGAAAAGTTATTATCTTAGATTGGCAGGGACCCACTCAAGCACTGACCCTCGTCCAGAAACTCAGGTATCTGGGCAGCTATATCAGCGCCAGTGGAACGGAAGAGAAGATTGCGAACCGTATAGAAAAAGCACAATGCGCTTTCGCTAATTTCCGCCATCTATGGCGCCGGTGTCACATCACTCTCGCTCTGAAGGGCATAGCTTACAATGCAGCCGTCCGTACAACCCTCCTGTACGGTTGCGAAACTTGGCTAGTTAGGTTCGATCATCGCTGCCTTCGCAGCTTAGCTCATATCTGGTGGGAGCACTGCGTGAGCAATAAGCGTGTTCAGCGTCGCGTATCTGGCGTAGGAAGAGCGAGTGAGCCACTCAGCACCATTATATCATGCACCAGGCTCCGATGGCTGGGCCACGTGTGCACATGTCAACCCACCGACTAACGCGACGAGCGTTGCTTGCGAGCCGTGGGTATGGAGGCACGAAGAGGAGGGGAGGCAAAGTGATGACTTGGTCAAGAGGAATGAAGTTCCTCACTTTGAAGTTGGTGTCGGTTGGTGTTTCCCGACTGCCTGGCTGGGGGCCGAAGGATGATAAATACGTTTGGTTGGTTACACTAGATAACATCGCGAAGAATCGACCTCAGTGATGTTTGTATTGTGAGCCTCCTTGGTCCTCCCCTTACCTTTAGTTTCCCCCTCTCACAACCATGAAAAGGTGACATTAGCAGTATGTTACTTGTTTATGGCTTTTAAGTCTACATTGCTTAACGTCTTGCTTTTTGTATTGCGGCACATTAGCTGGGGTGTTTCTCACCCTCGGCTAGCACGTATTGCTGGTGATGACTGGATGCTGGCGATGTCCATGATCAGCCACTCATTGTTCATCTCCCCCCTGCAGCGTACACGCGCCCCAAGCTCTTTGATGAACAGTGAGTACTCTGCACCATCGCACCATCGTTGATGATTATCGCCACAAGTGGCGTCATCATGCGGCTTCAGGTTTTATGTAACAGGATGTTGGTGCGCGTTCCTTATCCTGAGGGAGCCTGCGTCCGTCGCAGATGGGGCCTCCACCCTCACAGGTTCACACACCCGCGCACACACAATACACTGATGGGAACACAGGGGACAACTGGATTAACATCTTGGATCGAGCTGAAGGACACTTGCGACCAAGAGGGCTTGCACTAGCGCTCGCCGCTTACACAATTTGGGCTGCATTGGTCTAACTGCAATGTGGATGAACATCGTCCATCCGCCTTACTTAATATTGTTAATAAATGAAAGCGAAAGGAGACAGTGACGATGTGGATGGTTACTTTTGTAAGTTGGAGAATATGATTTTACATGCGGTCAAAATCTGGTTTATCCAATCACAGTCCCTTCTCAAAAACAAAAATATCAAGGAATGATCTAAAGAACCCAACATTTGTGTTCCGTGCTGTGCTCCAAGAATGTGCAGTTTCAATTTCAGTTAGAGGGATTAACGCGATCCCAAAGAAGTCCGTCCATCTGCAGTAAACCTTAAGTGAAATACTGGATTTCGTAGAAAATAGAACCAAAATATTCAGCTTATGATTGAAAAAAGCCTAAGTTGGTGAACCCACTGCACATAAGGACACAGAAGTAGTTGGGCAAACAAATGAATTCCGCCAAAATTCCGAACGGGACTGACTCACTTGCTCGCCCATATCGCTGATCACAATCGGTTGGTCCTCTGGGTGCAGCGTGGCAAATGGAGAAATGGTGAGGGTAAACGGAATGCCCACGGTTTTCAGCATATCCGATGTGATTGGAACACCGTAAAGTGAGGATCGGACAAACCGCGGGTTGCAATTTCCCTCGTCTCGACATACGAAATCCGTTGTGACCAGAGGAGGAACAACATTAAGCTGACCGGTTGGGAATGGGCCGGTGCACTGGGTCCGATTAGACTCGATAACCTGAAACACAACCGGTAGTTGATTGCTGTCATCACAATAGGAGAGAAACGGTTAGATGAACAACTTGTCGTCGATGACACTCGCAGAGACAAAAGCTAGCAACTGGAAAATTTTTATTGCATGAGAAATTAAGTGGGGATCCATAAAAAGCTTAGTGGCGTGTAATCAAGCCGCGGAGAGAGATAACTACAGCCGCACAGCAGTAAACAGCATAACAGCCGAAGACTGTGCAAGATGAACGTTCGTTGACATCAGCACTGTTATATGAGTGGAGCAGGAAATCTATCAAGTGGCAAGGAAGATGAATACTAGAGCTGGACATTGGGTCTCAAGTCTTTGGAACTTATGGATACTCGCCGACGTATTCCGGATGGAAGCGAATACAATGAGGCTCGCAAAACTCTCAGTGCAAAACAACGTGCTAGCTTGAAGGAAGAACGCGAAGCCTGGTGGTCACATTGGGCCTCGGAGATGGAAACAGGCGTTACCATTGGTAGTCATGGTAAGTTATTCCGTCAGATACGGGAAACAAGTAGCAAGGGATCTAGTGTTAGCGAGACCATACGCGACGAGAGTGGACAGCCGGTCCACAACCTGTCAAAATGCGTGGAACGTTTGGCCGAACACTTTGCAAGGCAATTTAACCAACCTGAGTTATCGCTTGTTTTCGGGCATTGAGCGCCCTTCTCCCTGGGCCGTCTTCTTGGATCTGCACTCACGCGCAGAAGTCGAAGGCGAGATCAGGCTGTTGAAATTGCATAAGTCCGACGGGACAGGCAGAATTCCTCCAGCCCTCTTCAAATTCGGGGGACCTGCTCTAATAGTTGATTTATACGAGTTGCTAGTGAAACTTTAAGAGCAGGAGACTGTCCCAACAGACTGGAGCCGCACCGTCAGTCTAATTTTCAAGGGAAGCGTCCGTTCGGAATGCGGCAAGCATGGATGGATCAGTCTGGTCTCAATTGCCTCTAAATTGCTTGCTCTGTCATTCTCCACAGACTGACCGGCATTCGTGAAAGCCAGATTCGCGAAGAGCAGGCCCAGTTTCGTCGAGGTTGGGAATGCATCGACCACATTTTCACCTTGCGTCAATTGTTAGAGCACCGCCATGTTTATTGGCGATCTACCGTTGTCGTTCGTTGTCGATCGATGTGCCCATTGAAACTGTCTATTGAGGAAAGGTGTGCCGGATAAATATATAACCATTATCAAAGCACTGTAGTTCAGGCAGAGTGAGGGTTTATGGCAAACTCGCCACCCTTCAGCATCACCAGCGGTGTGAGACAAGGTTGCCCGCTGTCACCTTTCCTCTTTAACTTCGCTATTGATGAAGTCATGGAAACAGCGCTCGCTGGACATGACCTAGGTGTGCAGCTAGTTCCTGGTGAGCGACTTCTTGGCTTAGAGTACGCGGACGATATTGTCCTAACCTGTGACAGCTCCCAAACATGCCAAGCAGTACTGGACTGATTAGCACTGACTATCGTTTTGGGCTATGATTTGGTCCATCGAAATGGCAGGGACCAACCCCTGCGCTAAAGCTTTGTGATGATCAGCTAGAAGTCGTTCAGGAATGCAAGTAGCTGGGCAGCTATATTAGCGCCCGTGGGATCGAAGATGAGGTTACGAACCGTATGGCAAAAGCTCGAGGTGCTTTTGCCAATCTCCACTAACTGTGGCGCAGACGCGACATTACTCTCGCAGTGTATGGCAGAATTCATAACGCAGCCGTCCGTTCAACTCTCCCACATGGTTGTGAAACTTGGCCCATCAGGTCGACAGACATAAAGGTTAATCACATTCGATCAACGCTGCCTTCGCAGCTTAGCTCATATCTGATGGGAGCACCGAGTGAGAAATAAGCGTGTTCGGCGTCGCGTATTTGATGCAGGAAGAGTGAGTGGACCACTCAGCACCATTATATCATGCACCAGGCTCCGATGGCTGTGTCACGTGTTGCGCATGCCAACCCAGCGACTAACGCGACGAGCGTTGTTTGCGCGCCGTGGGTGTGGATGGACGAAGAGGAGTGGAGGCCAGGCAATGACTTGGTCAAGAGAAATGAAAACCCTTAGTTCGAAGTTGGCGTCGGTTGGTGCATCCCGACTGCCAGGCTGGGATCCTAACGACGATGAACACGTTTGGTTGGACACACTTGGTAGACCATTTTCGGTCTCACCCCCAACTTCCCTGACGACTGTTCAGTTTACTCCGGAAGTACTGGCGAAACACAAATCCCTGCGGCTAACGTCCTCTCCTGTCGCTGATGGTTTCCACCCAAGGCTTTTGCGAACGTGCGCCGCAGCTTTAGCTTCACCCCTAGCGGAGCTGTTCACAAACTTCTTCTTGCAAGATAAAGTTCCCAAGGATTGGAAACGTGGGACTATTACACCAATCTATAAAGGCGGTACTCGCAAAGGCCAGGCCAATTACCGACTGATAACCCTCCCTTCTACGACCTCCAAAGTGTTGAAGCACATGGAGGCCCACAAACTGCTCTCCGATTGCCAGCACGATTTCCGGGGCAACGGTCGTGTCTGAGTAACCTGCTACTTGCCAGGAATAGCTGGACGACTGGTGCCGACTCTGGCCTAGGAACGTCTGTCATATTCTTGGATTTCGCCAAAGACTTCGACAACGTCGACCACAACATTTTACTACAGAAACTTGTCTTACGGCGTTTCAGGGGCCTTTGTGGACTGGATCCAAGACTACCTCCAAAACCGTACCGTCCAAGTAAGCGTCGACGGAGCGTTGCCCCCCTCCCGCATCCTTTCTACTAGAGGAGTTCCACAGGGGTCTGTTCTCGGACCGGACTTCTTCCTAGCCTTCATTGATGAAGTCAAACCGCAGGTGGATTCTTTGTTGCTGCTATATGCGGATGACGCGAAGCTGTGGCGCACAACTAACGCTCCGGAAGATGCCCACACTTCAGACAGACTTTGACCGTCTACATCAGTGATTCATAGAAAATAACATTCCATTTGACGCTTCGAGATGTCGCGTCCTTTCTACTCCGCCTTTCGCTCTTTCTCCTATATATTTCCTGGAAGCGTCTATCTTCCATATCTCGTCAGCCGAAAGAGACTTGGGTATCAGTAACAAGATGAGTGTTTCCGTATCCGCTTCCTGCCGGAAAGCAGCTTCTGCTGCTAACCGCGTGGTGGGATTGCTGAAACGAGTCTTCGGTTAAATTGAGCCTAGCAATTTCCGCCTCCTCCACAACGCTTTTCTTCGACCGCACTTAGAGTTTGTTATTCAGGCTTGGAGCCTCTGTTTGTTGAAAGACCAACGTATACATGAAGCCCCACAACGTGGAGCAACAATATCGGTCCGAGGTATCAAGCACCTAGATTATCCGCAACGACTTCACTGTCTGGGCCTCTACTCGATTAAGTACCGACGTCTCCGGGGCGACCTGATCCTTGTATCTATGATCTTATCCAACCCTGGAATCCCTGTCGCCACCTACTCACACTGCACCAATCATGCTCCTATCTACGTGGCCACCCACTGAGGCTCACACATCAGCACCGTCAACAGAATTGTAGACGACACTACTTCGCTTCGCGAATCTGCTGATCGTGGAATGCTCTGCCTACCGATTTAGTCTCGGTACGCATTGTGGCGGATTTTAAAACCCGCCTGGACTGTCATCTGGCCGAGCTACCCCGCGATATCCCCTGACACAAATACCTGCTACTTTATGAAGTTTTTCTTTTTCCTCTTCTACCTAATTCCTTTCTACAGCCGTTTCGGAGGACGTGGTGGGACGTCACGCTTTGAGCCGCCGTGCATTCTGCTTAAATGCCGCATAAGCCTCATGAAGTTACGGATAACACGCGAGCCCAACCCGCTATAAGGCTGCGTGGCCTTTCATCAGACCCGACCCTAACTTTTTTTACCCTACGGGTCATATAAAGCTGCAGCTTTTATTCTCATTAAATATAATGTTAAATGTTCCCATATATGTGAGCTGACGCATGAAGTCATGGGATCGGCTGAGTAGTATCCATAGTGCAACCTAATTTATCCAAAAAGCAATAGCCCGTAAGACAGGAGTTAAAAAGCAACAGTCAGATTAGTTTCTTAAAACAACAGATGATGACACTGAAGAAGGTGCATTGACTTCGACAAACACTGGCAGTGAGCGTGTTCGGTGGCTTGCGTAGTGCGTAGGAAAAGGTGAACCGCTCTGCACCGTTTTCCATGCATCAAACTCAGATGGGTCATGTGTCATACATGCCGATGCACAGACTTCCGTGACGTGCACTGTCTGCGTAACCGAGGTCTGGATTTAACGACGCAAACTGGTTAAATAATCAAGTGAGGACCCTCACTTCGAACTTTGCCTCATTTAGAGTCTCCCGACTACAACGCTGGGGTTTGAAGGATAGTGAAAACGTTTGGTTTGGAACGGTTGTTAACATGGCTGAGCGCCAACATCAGTATTGCGAGTTACTCTATCCATCCGCAACCCGCCTAGACTCCCTACCAACCGCGATCTCACTGTCGATGCGTAGTATCAAAGGCATAATACTGTGTTTATCTATCTTGTATGTTTTATTATTATGTAGCTGTTTGCTGTCGAATACCTTATTGCATTGTACTGCGGCACATTAATCGAGGTACTTCTCCAGCTGACGTGTAGGATAATGATGAGGAGCCGGTTACTTATTGCTTGCCGATACGAAGCCTAGTTGGGTGAAATCCCGAAATGGACAGTCAAAACGGTACGGCAAAATGGTACGCAACAGCTCGCCCGCTTGGTTCACGTAATCTCCCAGGACAGGGTCCTCGTTACCGACCCAATCGAACATAATGCAGTTAAGGAGTCAATGATGAGTTTTACCATCCTTCGGAACCATCATAGTTCCAACAGGCGATTTGTGCTCTTGGTAATTCCTTCTGAATTAGTAGTAGCACTATGATAATTATTTTGACGACGTGAACCATGGTAACATGCGTTAATTCATTCGGTTTGCACATCAGCTAGGAGTGAGAAGCACCCCAACCGTTGTACCGAATGGCAATTCAAGTAAGTGGCGGCAAAAAAACAAAAACGAAACAAAAATATTCTGCTTTCTATTGTGCGCTGACGACGAGATCGTGGTTGCATGCGGTGCCTAAACGGCTTGCGGACG